GGGGGGGGGAGGGAGGGTCCAACCACCAAAGGATTTCTGGATGACACAGTCTGATCACCCAAAGAATCTGTTTTGCTGCACTTGTTTACACTGGATCAAGAGACATAAAGTTCCCTTCTGAGTTTTGTGCCCATCAACAGGTCTAAGATATGCCTCTAGCCTTTGTTGTTGAGACACTGTTGGGTTCATAGACCTACCAGAAGCTCTTAAAGCAGGATGCTTTCAGGCTGGAAAGCTGACATTTATGCTGATATAACTTCCTTGCTTCTCCCAGATTCTTGTGAAACATGTCTACCAGAAAAAAGCACAGCTTTTCGTGATATCAAAACCTACTAGCAGAACTTTGAATGACAGCTCTGTCTGACAGGGACTTTGGCACCTCACTACTGTACCTATGCCAGCAAAAGCATTTTAACTTTCCTTCAGTGTCAGCCTTGTTCTGAAAGCTCCATCTGTCTTTGACTTTGTCAAATATGAGATTCCAGCTGTTTTAAAAATAAACTATGTATGTTAGCTATTTGGATGATGTAATGATAATTGGGTTGTTATCTTGCTCCTTTTTTTTTTTTTTTTTTCCTTTACCAGTGCAGTGATTTTCTGTCTGGGGAGCATCAGGAAGTATTCTGGAGGATGAAAGATGTTATGAGCCCCAGAAAAAAACTATTCACCTTCCGAGGTGTGTAGATGTGCTGGTCTCTTGACTGTCCCACACAGAAATGTCCATCCTCTTCAGACCCATGAAGAGTGTTGTTGTTCCTTTGAGTCAACACAGGTAGATCTTGGGGTTCAGTTTTGCTGAAAATTGAATTTAAAAAAAAAAGAGAGAGAAGAGAAGAAAATAAGTAACAAACTGATTCATAATGAAAAAAAGAAAAAGCTGGTGTTTGACCTCTGGGGATTTGAGAAGAGCCAGAGATTGAATAGTGCCTTTGTGAGGGTAAGAACTGGGTAAGTGAGAAGGGGAAATGAAATTTCTACCAAAAACAAACAAAAAAAAAAAAAAAAAAAGAAAAAAAAAAAGAGGAAGGATGGTTCTGAAAAGCTTGAGGAGCACAGTACTGGATGAAGACTGCAGGTTATGTGACACTTTTTTCTGTTGCCCTAAAATACTTGCATTTTGCATTGTGTTTACTGCAAGGGGCTGGATTCTGCTTCTAAAGGGGATTTAAGAATACATCACTGTGGGATATGAGATGACAGGATGTTGGGTCAAAAATGAATTAATATCATGGTTTTAATGAAGGAGGGAATGCTGAGTGATGCTCCAGGAAAGAGGACTATGCACTCATTAGGACAAAAAGGTGCAGGGCACAAGGAGAAAAAGTAGGATCTAATGTGAGCACATTATTTGCTGTCAGAGGAGCTGGCAGATATCAATAGTTCATGGCTGCATTAGAGCTTAAACAGCAGACTTGCCTGCAGTGATAGAAAAGTCTCTCTTCTCTGCTTTCCCACAGCATATGTATTACATATCTTTGTCTAGAAATTTCATGTTCTGCTACAGCTTAAAGAAGCTGCAATAAACCTGACCTAGAGGCTGAGGAAAATATCATCAAGTTGCCACATGTTTGGCCTTGTTTAACTTTTCTTAGAGACAACAGAAAGAGAAGTGCTGCTGCAGTGCTGGAGGGGCTGTGTGCTGGACAGTGGCCTCATGCACCCTTCATGATAGGGTTACACAGCTGCATTTGGACTTCTTCACCACAGGGATAAGGAAAGCTGCAATTATGCATCAGTAGGCCCGACTGCTGAGCCTAGCACTTGGCAGGAGCCTTGGAGGTGCTCCTCATAGTGTGAGACAGTGAGAGGGGCCTGCGGGAGGCCAACCTGCCAGTCTTTAAGCCCATGGAGCAGGAGAGTGCCCTCTCTGCAGAGCTCTGGGGTATTCTTGAGCAGGCTGTATGCACCCCTCATGTTCAGGCTGTTTCAGTTTTCAGACTGCTGCACAGGTGCAGGGTCTATGCCCTTGGCTTACCTTTCTCTCTTTTGCAGATGCGTAGGGCTACACTCTCACAGTCATCCTGTTGGGAACACACAGCTTATGCTTTTGGTCCCTGGTCCCAGGACTTGCTTAACTCCATAGAAGCAGGTCAGAAATTCACACTGTTGTCTTTCCCTTCTGGAGAAGGATGATTACTTTTTTTCCAACATGAGACAGTAGCTGGAAAACAGGAAAAGCTGTTCTTCCTATACACAGCCGATCTGAAGTTTGTTTCTATTCTGCCTGTCCCTGAGCCCAAAGTCCAACAGTCTCAACCAGTCCCCTGCAGGTACACAGTAAGCATGTGCCATTGTTTATTAGTAGAGACTGACCGTATGCAGTGGGTTCCCACCAGCTTGGAGTCTGAATCCGAAGGAAAAGCCCATAAACAACGGATGAAATAGCTTTATGCTCTTTTTTACTGTCATCTTGTATCTGCACTGATTTACTGGACTAATGACTTTACAATTTATTAACTATCAACCAAGCTCTCATCACCTGCCAGGCCCAGCCACGCTGCAGCCCCAAGGAGTTTCCTCCCTCGTGGGCAAGGTAGCTGCCAAGACAAGCTTTCAACTTTACAGTGAAACAGAATTTAGATTCTGAAATCTCTGGTACTGTTCTGGCTTTGGTGGTGTGAAAGCTAGGCTTTAGAAATACAGAGTAGCCACAGTCATGATACTGCAGCTGCTTGTTTTGTGCTGGCTAAAGCTACTGGGACAGCTGCGTGATAGGAAGGGTTAATAACAATGAGGCAGACACCAACCATTTCCGTTTAGGGCGATGGTACTGGGAATTGAAGAGAGCAGAGCTAGAAAAAAAAAGAGCAAATGAAACCAAAATCGAAGTGACCCAACATTTCCCAAGTGAGCAGCTCAGAGCACTGCTGTTCTGTGGGTTAGTGATTTCTTACCACATCCTGAACACGACCTCCAGTGGCACCTGTTTGTTCCATAGTGCTGAACTGCAGCTTCGTGAAAAGGAGCATATGATAAATGTTTTCAAAAGCAGTTTTATCAGTGGGTACATGCCTACTGCTCTCAGGTACAGCTGTGTTTGAGCAGCAGAAGTCTTGCAGAGATTACCCAGTCAGGAAAGCCCTAGATTTTGAAGCAGAAGAAAGGAAGTAGATAAACTGGCTGATTCAAATGAAATGCACTTCTTTGGATCCTGGCTTGAGCTGAGTTAAATTCAAAATGCCCCAGGTGTTGTGGATGTTTTATATTGATCTTTAGATTTTTATAGACCTAGAATAACAGCAGTGCACAAAGCAACCATTTGAAATTAGTAAGCTGTAACCTAAGATATTAGCAAAAGCACAGCAGTCCTACCCTCCTCCCTGTACCAGGGAATTCAGCCAGCAGCATGAAGTAACAGAGGCACAGTGTGAAGCACAGGTGTCCCATGCCAACACTTCCTGCTGCAAAGTATACAGGTTGCTTTGGTTGGCCCTTAAAATGATGTTACTCCTGTTCTGGTGCACAGAGGTACTGCCCTGTAAATCACTCTCAGAACTCCTCTTCCCTGGGACTGCAGAGGCATGCCATAGGTTGGAACCCTGCAAAGCCGTACAGCCGCTTAGCAAACCAAGCACCTGCAGAAGAGAGGGAATTGCACAGAAGGAAAGCAATGAACTGAGTAACCTGTGCTCAGTGTGTATGTGTTTCCAGGTGCAGAAAAAAGTAAGGGTTGGTGGTGAAGGAAACATCTGTGTGTTTCTGTGGCTGATGAAGAGACTGCCAGAAAGACGAAAATGCCCCAGCAATTGAAGTGGAGCTGGTGTGTGGATGACATAGTAGGCCAAGCAGAGCGGTGGATCATTTATCTCTGCAGAACAGAATATCACCAGATCATTAATAGAGCCAGCTGTAAATTCAGTGTGTCTGAAACATGTGTTTTGTTCTTAAATGTTTGCACTTGTGCAGGAAGAGCAACAGCAGTCAAGTAGCCTTATGGCACAGGAGGAAGTGCAGCAAGGTTCTAGAAACCTGGAGGAAGAAAACAAAGGTGTAGCCTCAGAGGCACCTAACCCTAACAGGGACAGACTAGGAAATTACATCATCCTTGTTTTTCACAGCCCAATGAGAGTAAATAAACTTCATCCTGCCAATGACAAGCAATGTGTCTCTTGGAGGCTATTTGTTTAGGACTGGCCTTAATACTTAGCCATTCTTCCTTGTGCACTCAATGAAGAGGAGAGCAGAGAATGATTCACAGCAGCACAGTGACTCAGGAGCATACATTATCCTTTTGCTAATTCTCGATGTGCCTCTTCCTCCATCAGCTACCACGTGGAGTGGAACATCTCAGGGTAGGGCTGGAGTAGATTTGCTTTACCACGTGGAGCTACAGCAGCACACACCTCCATTCCAGCATGTGCCTCTCGGCTAATAATAAAGCTCATGCGGTATCTGGGTGGATGTAAAGAGAGCAAGTTAGGAGCTGTGTATCATATCTACAATACTATGACCTCAAAGCCCGTAGCCAGTCAAAAGCATCAGTTTAAATTTTGATT